GTTAAATCACTTAATTTGGATCTATGAATCACTCAAGCTTTCAAAAAGGTCTGCAACCTAAAGGATGAACCAGTTCTGTGTCTACACATAACAGACAGCTTAGCAAAGAATCAAATTCAATTGGTATCTTTAGGCACTTTATTAGCATCCTGTCACAAAATAATTTGTTCAAATTTCTTTAGTTGATTCTATGAAAAATGTCAAAGATAAAACAGTTTGACAGGTGCAAAATGGTATTTTTGCAAAATGATTACAAAGAGCTGTTAGGTGTAAACTTTGTATATCTCAGCATGATGTGCAACGTGTCCTTAAAAAACTGGGGAAACTGGAGATGTGGCATGCAGAAGAAGAAGTGTCAGGCCTAAAAAAGCAGATGACGGTTTCTGAAAGTCAGGTCCTTAAGAACGAGGGGAAAATCCAGTAAAGACCTGACGCTGGACCTGAGAGAAGCTTCTGGCTCTTCAGCTGATCCATCTACTGTTCACTGAAGCTTCACTGAAACACACTGCCAGCGCAGTAAAAGCATACCTGCACAGTGGAACACTATCAGTCACAAATTAGCATCCCTGGAGCCCAGACTGCAACATTATTGCAGCAGTGTGGGATCATCATGACAGAGAATGTAAGAAAATCAGCCAGCATCCACAGAAGAGCTTTGAATGTCAATTCTTGAAGACTACTGAAAGAAGCTTTCTGAGTTCAGGCTATGGTGAAGAATAAAAGTAGTCAGACCAAATACTGACTTTCAAGCTTTGTTCAAGCTACTGTCTTTCCATGTATGTCTTTCAAAGTCGCTGCACATATTTCCCATTTTCCTAGAAAAATATAAAGAAATGAGGGGTACCACTAAATTCCACAGTATCCTAAAAATTGAATTTTGGTTAAAAAGACATCCACTAAAGCACAACACTATACTGAGGAAGATTAAGCTGTAGCAGTGCTGCTGCAGACTTAAATTGTATTTACAAATTCCTAAATCCATGTCAGTGCTGGATCCAAAATTCAAGCAATGCTGTTACACATACAGTATATCATCACTCAGAAAGACAGATTGCACTAAAGTAGAGTAATCCTTTCTATCAGAAAACATGGTCAGAAAGCAAAGCTCCTGGCAACAGGCCATCTAATTTGAAATGGTCTTACAAGACTGCATTAGTTGATGCTCTAGATAAGGATGTTTTTGGGGTTACGCATGTTTTCTGTTGATCTGTCTGAATAACAACATTGTTGGACAAACTGTCAAATACACGAGGGAGGACTAGGGCAGAAATTACATCGTGACAAAAAAGTCTGGAGCCTCCACTGTCATGTACTGTATTAAGGGCAGATAAATGAGCTCCAAAATTCTCAGGAGAAATAACCCTCTCTTAATTCCTTGCATGCCTGACGAATGGCACCGAGACAGCGTAAGTTGTGTATTTTCTCAGTTTTTCAGCATCAGCAACTTTGTCTTTATGTTCTTTCATGCTTCAGTAAAGTACAAGATGAGTGTGTGAATTGGTTTTGCCTGCAAAACGCACACGGCAATAGTACGCAGAGAAAACGTGTGTAGGTGGTTTTTGCAACCAAATGTTTGCAGAAGGATCTAATCTGCAAGTACGAACATATCAGTTGGAGGCAAATGAGCCAGAGAACGCCAATTATTTCATGTATATACCTTATCCTTTTGAAAACATAAAATAAAAGCTCCATATTTATAGTGCTCATCAAGAAACACACAGATGTTTATACTGAACATAACCATCCTTTTTATGCTGTAGACTATACATCTTTCAAACTAGGGTAAAAGGCACCCAGAAAAATGCATCTACAAACACTTTTGCAACACATAAAAGGAGCGACACACATCCATCGTAAAGATTAAAGCTCTGAGTCAGAGTTGTGCTATCATTCCACTCAAGGTACAGAAGCAACGGACAAAATGTAGATCCAGTAACAGACAGCATGCAGAATGGAGTGGGTGATTACACAGACGCTTCAGTGGCCATTTAACTAGTGCTCTACTCACCACATCTGTTTAGTTATATTAGGATATTGCAGTGTTGCAAGTAATGAAAATGCAATCCCTCTAAAGGCAGAAAAAAATGTCATCAAAAGGTGATATAAACGCCCTTCGTTCAGACGAGTGGTAAACAAGAGGAAACTGACAAAGCAGACAGCACACAGAGGTCGAAGACTTCTGTTAAACTCCTGGGGTGCAGTTCAACAAAACAGGGAAAGAAAATGCACTCATGAAAAGGAAAAATCAACATGTAACAGATGTTTGAGCTTTTAGGGTCTACATGTAGTCAAGGCTTGAACATTTCAAGCCTGAGAGGACTAAGAAGGTGAAGTGAACACTGGTTGAGATCAGTCACCCCCAGGCAGTCATCAAAAATTAAAAGAACCTTAGTTACATTCCTATGTCTCCATTATATCCTCAACATGACACCAGCTGCAAAGAACACACAGCAGTGGATTAGTGCATTAGAAAACTGGATCTACTTTAATACAGAAGTCTGTCTGCAGACTGGACAACCCAACCACAGGTTCGAACGTCAAGGATAAAACCACCTACACTTCAATGAACATAAGACCTGATTTTCTTCTGTGTTCGCCTTGGATAGCTCAAAGCAGCCATTTCTCACTGGGGCAGTGAGGATGTAACAGCTAGACTTTGCAGCCATGGAGGCAACTCCGTGAGGCGGTACTTACTGTAGACACAGCAAACTTCATGCTAACGGCATGATGTTTCCTTTGTTTTCTGTTGTAGCACTCAAAATTGTAGCATGATAAGTTATTCATTATGAAAAATACAAAAGAAATCTGAGGATGAATACCACTCGTCTGAGAATACTTGTTAATACACCAACTGAACACACTTAGACTTTTTCGGGGATATCACTAAAGTCATTATCCGAAGCCAGACATGAATATCTGGTGTAAATTTCATGGCAATTCACAAATCCTTTTTCCGGACTTAAGCGGAACTGGAAAACAGACCCTGCTTTCCCGGCTTCACAGAGATTGATACAATATACTTTTTTGCAGCTGCTCTTAACTCACTCTGCATATTCACAAAGACTGAAAATTGATTGCGTGTCATCTATTCTCTGTAGCTACTACGAAGATTTTTTTTTTTTAAATTAAAGATTTTATAAGCAGGTCCATTGAAATGACTTGATGGGCAGGTCTAAGCAGTATTACACAAATAGAGGGAACATTATGTATTAGATTATTAGACGGCTTTAAGACCCTCTTCTCCCACAGGGGTCAAGCTGGACTCGTGTGGGGCTGGGGGCTGAGAAAACAGCTTTGTCTCTTTCAGTTTACAGAGAGATGAACAAAAGACAGAATGCTGTTTGTTTCTCGTGTACTGAGAGGAGGTGGGGCGTGCGATGGAATAGTGGGAGGGGCGGATGTTTAATTGTGTGTGTGCGTCTTTGTGGGGTCGGGGGCAGCTTCTCTCTTGAATATTCCATATGATGAATGAGCGTCAGTCCTTTTCACGGGAAACAGAAGCCTTGAAGTTAAAGCCAACAACAGTGCATAATCTCCGCCTCTTCAACCTGAATACGAGAACAAGCTGTTTAATGTATTTACTCTATTTACTCGTTACTTACTGGTTAGTGAAAGTGCAAGTTGAAAAAAGCAATGCCATTTTTTTCTTCTCACACACACATATATATATATATATAATAATTAAATATAAACCTATTATCATATTATTTTAATTTAAATTAATTTCCATCATGGAAATGCTTGCATGTGTGATGAAACCTGAGAGGAAAGAAGAGAAAAGAGCAAAAGGACCAACTTTTCAGAGACAGCACACGGTAATTAGTGAGCTAACATCACGTTTTTCTCCACAGAATAACTGGACTAATTGTTCTGGTTCATTATAACGTGGTTATAAACCTGTGGATTGTTTGCATTAGCTTGAGTTAGATTTACATACAAGAACTTAAATCTCTCAATCATGACTGTGAGTTTAAGAAAGCTTAAAATATGAATATATATATATTTGTATGACAAATTGAATTAAGAAGATCAAACTGGTAACAAAAGCCACATTGCTAATTGATTCTAAATACTTGAGGATAAAGAAGGAAAAATATTTTCCATAATCTCCCAAATCCAGCTCCCCAATCCACAAGCAACACTGGCTGCATTGTGCCCAACTCAATACTGAAAACAGCAAAATTCTCCACTGCAGATGAAACAAATACCATAGTACAGATAATTGTATTTACTGGAGAAGAAGTCACTGTCTACAGAAACAATAAACATTTTCCATTAGCAAAAACGAGATTTTCTATAATTCTATCCACTGTGAAAGCAGAGTGGGATCAATGGTAAAAATGCATGTAATCTTTAGCTATGTCTACTGTAACCTTGCATAACACATCAAGGTTAACCAAAACCACACATACACAAATACAGACACTACGGGTCCACTGTGTGCTAAATATACAGAGCATTTCACAGATATGTGAAGACTCCATAGTTTCACAAACAACTCCCCGAGCAAAGATAAAAAAACAAAAAACAAACACAGTATCTTGTGTGAAAATTGTGTGGGTGCAGAACCAGCATGACTAACACATGCATAGATGTTGTGCTCATGAACATCAAATGCTTTGACCCTAGCATCACAAAATGGCCACAACCTTCAACACCTATAGCATCCAATAATGTGATATTTTACCTAACTCAGTATACAGTAAAGGAAGAAAATGCCAAATGAAAAAAGTCAACTAGGGTCATGTCATTTGTCATGTTTGCATAACCTCATGAACCTCATGTGTTCAAACAACAAAGCTAACCACAAAGAGTAGTTCAGTGGTAACTATAAATACAAGGCCATAAAAAGAAAGCTCTGAATACTCTAAACTATTAGCTCTCTGTTGTTTTAACCTACTTTTGATAAGCACTGGACAAATGCTTTTATGCCGGATTGCGTTCAAATGTGTTTACACAATTTCGGCTTTCACAACACTTTTGTGCAGCATTCGGCTTACTGTAATAGGAGCACTGCTGAAGCGAATCTTCCTCTTCGGAGGGATGTCCTCTTTGTTTTCTTCCGCCAGACCAGGAATCTCTGTCAGATCGGACCCCGGGTCGTAGACGATGTCCTCGTCATCGTCACCGTAGAGGTCATCCTCGGGATCTGTGCAACTTTCCCCCCAACCCTGGTAACAGGCGTCCCCATCTGCGTTAAAAATCACCCGCTCATTCCCAGTGTATTCCTCATCAGGCTCGTCCAGCTGGTCCTTGGAAGATTTTTCTTCCTTTGAAGCATCTCTGTCCTCTTGGCTTTCCCTGGTGGTCGGCAGCAACTCGGGAGTGGTATCCTCTAAAGCTTTGTTTGTAATTACAGCACCATGTGTAGGTTTTGAGGATTTGGAGGTTCCTAGATCCTCAGTTTGTTTTGTTGTGTCCTGCGGTTTCTCCTCTTCTTCACAAGAACCATTAATCTGGTTTCCATTGGTGGAAGCACCAGAAAAACGCTGTCCTTCTCCCGCTGTAGCCTCTCCAGCTTTGTCTTGGGTTTCTTCCTTTTGAGAGGCATCTTGTTTGCGCTCTGAAATCTCTACTCCAGGACTCGGGCTCAGGAGGTCCTCCGAAGACGAGGATGTGGGTAACTTGCCCCCTATCCTGTTCCGGTAGGTTCCACGAACTGGAGATTGTCGAAGAGAATCATCCTCACTGACATCTCCGCCATGGCGCTGGAATCCGTCAGGTGAGTAGAGGGCTCGTCTGCTGACTCCTCTGTATGAAACCCCCTGGTTGTGGTGGTCAGCGTTTTCAAAAACAGCACTGAGTTGGCTGACAGTTGGTGAGGATGCCTCCGTTCTGGAGCACAGAGAATCCAAGGAGTCTGTACTGCCTCTGTTGGACCTCGCCCCTCGCCAGTCATCGAGGTGCTCATGGGAACCCCTTTTATCACGGCCGTAGGGAAAGACTGGTGATTGGGACTGGTCGCGTGACTGTTGTTCAAATAGCTTTCTGGTTTCGGAAAACTTTGCCCCGGCACCTCCAATCCTTTCTGCTGATGAGGAATGCTGAAGTTTTATCACTGATCCATCAGCCTTATTGACGAAGTTTGTGGGCTTCACCAGCTTTTGTGGTGAGGATTCATCACGACCCCTAGTCTTAGCAGCTGCATTCTCTGACCCCATTTGCATGAACATGTCCTTAATGCGACTGACGTGTGTGCCATACTGGCGTCCCCTCGGTTGTTTCACCCGCTCGAGGTCTTTGGGCTTTGAGTCTCCATCGAGCCGAGGCTGGTCAAAGGCCTTCTTGAGTGCCTGAAACTCAGCCCGGTAGGCGTTACGGTGGGGGGAGGCACTCCGGAGGCTGGTCCTCTCCCCCGAGGCCTCCGTTTTCAGCATGATGATGCCTTTGGATTCAGAGGAGATGTCAGCATTGCCTTGGCTGCATTAGAGCACCGAAGTGAGGTATCTTGTTCTACTAGTAGTGCCACTTGGTCTGATCCAGCTGTTGTTATAGTTCTTTTAGGCCCATTCATACCTGTAAAGATGAAAGGAGATGTTACAAAGGTAGAAAAATGGTTTTGTCGAGTGAAGACAGATAACTGTTTAAACAGGCTCACAATACCATATGGAGTCAAAGTGCCTCCTTTTATCAGTGGAGCTTCATGATCAGAATGATGGTTAAAAAGCATGAAAAAAGTCATTTTTACCATCAGCAACACTCTTCAGACACATGAGGGCAAAACGAATTACAGATACTTATGCGTGCAGTAAAAGCTCTCAGTACAAGAGAACTACTGCAGTGATAAAAGCCAATCGGACTCTAAAGGGCCTCCAAAGATGCTGTGTTTAGCATCACGGAAGAGCTGCGCTGCTAACCCTCTCAGATAATAAATCCTTTGATTTGTGCTTCTTTTTGTTTAAAATGGTGCTATGCTCTAGGAAACATGGTTGTTTCCTTCTTCTTTTCTTGCTCTCTTTCCGTTATCTCCCCCACCCTCTGTTTTCCATATGAAGCTGCGACCCTTGTACACTAAGACATCCTTCAACTCTCTAAACCATAACTGACATTATGGTTGTGGCTTCTAAATGTCAGCTCCCAAGCTGAAAAAAAATGTTGCTGGATGCACTCAACCATGTGTGTTGATACCATCCAATAGAAAAAAAACGAAACATTTAATGAAAGGCCCACATTTGCAATAATACAGGGTTAGAGCAGGGTAGTCGGCTGGTAGTAGTTAAATATACACCTACATCCGTTAATGTTTAATCCTTTTTGGAAATGCACGCCACAGAGAGTGAAATGAAACATGACACAGTAAAGCTGGGATAAAAATACATTATTAAATAAAAAAATAAGGTCCATCTGGGACACAGAATCCATTAACCTAAGTTGTGCTGTAACCCGCAGCCTGGATGCTATAGATGCATCAGCAACAGCAGCGGTGCCTGAAAACTAAACGTCCTGGTTCAGTATTTAATATTCACTATGCTGGACTCTTGCAGCTCAGTGTTAACACCTATGTGAAATGCTTGCGTTAAAAATATTAACAACAACAATAATTAATCTGAACTTGGGGATCATCTTGTGCTTTGCACCCTCTGAGGATTTTACGCAGGAAGATAATGAGGACGATAACGTGAGAGGTGAAATATAAATTGAGGCTTGTGAACATTGGGATCGGTGTCAGTGGGATCAGACAAACAGGCGCACATCAGCCACACCGCACAGTACATGACAGCTCAGGTTCCCCCCCTTCTGACACCGTTTCACGCGTATTTATTTACATTCTTCCAACTGCAAATTTCCGCGACATCAACCTCTAACCTTTCTCAATAATTGCAAAATAAACACAAGTTAACCTCAGATAACATCGAGGTTGCTTCACTGTTACAAAAACAAAAGAGTCAGACTTACATTCATGGCTCCGGCTTCGCTGGACGCGCCGCACACATAAACTGTAATCCAGAGGGGAAACTTGCGAGAAATGCGGATGGTCTGCTTGCAAAAGCTATCGAAAATAACATTTCTATTCCGAGCCCGTAAAAAGCCAGCCCGGAGCGGAATCGCCACTAGAAACGTTTGGACATAACTAGAGCCGCTATAACGCCATTGCATTGCAGGCAGTGGGTGATGCTGCCAGTCGCACAATGGGGGTGTCGGTGCAATTTGGGAAGCTCATCTCACTGAGAGCTGCACTGTGGCAGCATTTGCAGGACGGCAGAGTCCGATGTCCGTCTGCAGTGTGGCAAACTGAACTCGCTTAGCTGCAGCGATAGCCGGCGATTTGCGAATGTAAAGCCTCATGTGACAGGTGTTAAAACCTGAAGCGCAGCAATGGTTTGGTCCGATAATCTGCTGCGCGGAGGGGGTTTCAGCGAGCTGCAGTCTGGCATAAATACCAACACACAGCAACTGTAACTTCGCTGGTTCATCAGTGGGATTTGGGTGGGGTAGAGAGGGTCAAGGACCACTCTGACTGTGTGATGCGCGTTCAAATAAGGGTTTCCAAAATGTGGTTCGAGGACCAGAAAGTGGCCTTGAGGAGTTTACCTGGTTTAAGTTTAGAGAAACAAACAAACAAACAAACAAACAAAAACAAGTAAAGTTGGATTTCACTCAAAGTTCAGTCTGATGGCAGAATTTGAAGAAACCCTTAAACTGTTTTGTCCATCGCTTGTATTACTATAAATACACATGCAGCTTTTAAGTCTGACTGGAGAAATGTATAAGGGGGCAGTTTAATCAAACAGCTCTGAGCACCATCTCACACATCCACCATGAGGAACTACATTAAAATTGCAATGATCTCTTTAGTTAGTCGTCTCTCTCCTCAATTAATTCCTGAGCATTCATTTTTTAAGCCCCATTAAAGAAGATCAGAGTAAAAAAAAAAGAAAAACTATCTGCCTGGGTTGCATTCAGTCAACAGACCCCACCAAAAGCACAGGACTTAATTCATGTGATGAAGTGCTAGAGAAAAGGAAGCTTTGTAAACATCCAAATGTGTGATTATTTTTACAAACAGCACCAAGTTACATAATTGCTGTTGTTATGTTATAATAGACAGCATTGTTTCTTCTAACTTTATGAAAGCACAAGCTGTGTACGAATTTGGATGAGGCCTTCTGAGGAAAAACATTTGCTTGTTCAGTCAACATTTAACCAAACCATACTCGGTTAATACAAATGTGAGTCGCAGATTAGAACATGAACTGTTATAAGTTGATTTGGGACACTTCACACTTCAGATGAATTTTCAATAGGCCTACATCAGTTTTGAATTTAGAAAGTGCATTAAAAACAAGTCTTATGCTTTGGCATTACTGCAAGAAACACAGAGAATTAGAGCTTGTGCAGTGCATACATTTACTAAACACCCACCACTGCTGACGAGAGGATTTTGCAT